CTGGTTAACTCCCTAAATGGCTGCAATGGCCAGAGCTGTGCTGATCCTAAGCTAGGAGCCAGGAGCTTCTTCTGGGTCTCCATGCGAGTGCAGGGGCCCAAGGACTTGGGCCATCTTCTACTGCTTTCCCAGGCCACAGCAGAGAGCTGGATTGGAAGTGGAGCAGCTGGGACTTGAACTGACATCCATATAGGATGCTGGCACTGGAGGAGGTGGCTTTACCCGCTATGCCACAGCGCTAGTCCTGAGACAACTATTGTTAAGCTTGGTCTCAGGGCCTGGCGCTTGGCATAGTAGTTTAAGCTTCCATATGGGCATCCATTCAAGTTCTAGCTGCTCCACTTCTGACCCAGCTCCCTGATAATGGCATGGGAAAGCAGTGGAAGGTGGCCCAAGTGCTTGGGCCCCTGCACCCACATGGGAGACCTGGAAGAAGCTCCTGGCTCCTGGCTTCAGATCAGCTTCACTCTGGCCATTGCAGCCACCTAGGGAGTGAACCAGCAGATCACTATTTGTCTCTCCCTCTCTCTGTCTGTAACTCTGACTCTCAAATAAATTTAAAAAAGACTGATCTCAGACTCTGCTTGTCTCCTACTCTGCCTCATAGTCTACCTACAATTTTATAAGCCTTCAAATGTTAGTGTCTGATGGATCCTTCCTCATTAACTAAATAACATCTTACCTCATTATTTCTAATGGTTTTTGTCACTATATAGGAACCATAAATTAGTTAACCATTTCCACAATTATTGACATTTTCGTTGTTTCTGGTTTTGCTGTCTTTAATGTGCTAGGACTGTCTTTGAGATGAATCTATGTACATTCCTGCTTATTTCCTTATAGCACTACCTTGCAGAACATTTAAACATTTTTCTCATACATTTGTTTCATTAACTTTGTTAATGTCCCAGATTTCTTCTTATTTTTTTTTAAGATTTATTTTATTTATTTGAAAGAGTTACAGAGAGAGGTAGAGACAGAGAGAGAGGTCTTCTATCTGCTGGTTTACTCCCCAAATGGCCACAATGGCTGGAGCTAAGCCGATCTGAAGCCAGGAACCAGAAGCTTCTTCCAGGACTCCCATGTGGGTTCAGGGGCCTTAGAACTTGGGCCATTCTCTGCTGCTTTCCCAGGCACATTAGCAGGGAGCTGGAATGGAAGTGGAGCAGCTGGGACTCCAACTGATGCCCATATGGGATGCTAGCACTGTAGGCTGGGGTTTTAACCCACCGCGCCACAGCACTGGCCCCTGTTTCAGAGTTCTTGTGCTGCCAAATCATGTGAGAATCCAGAGAAAGAAATGGTACAACGGACAGCCCCATCCACCCATCATACAGTATCTGAAAACCTGATTCTTGAACATTTTGATGATTTCATAATCTTTTAAAAAATTATAACAAGAGTTGGAATTTAAAACTACTGCAGGGTTTCAAATTGCTGATAGAGTAAATAAAATCCCCTCATAATTAATCTCATTTCATTTCTCAATCATATAACTCTCTAATAAAATTTTGCTGGGAAAATGCATACTTCTCAGAGAATTCTTTGGATCAAGGTCCAAGAGATCATTTGTTAAGTTTTTGGTTTCTGAATTATATCTTCAGTTTAACCAGGAATTCCTTGTTTCTCATTTCATTATGCAACCCCCGCCCCCTCCTTTGGCTGGCTCAGCTACTCACCCTAATCTGCCCACAGGTGCCTGGAGTGGTTGGCAGGTCCTGCCAGGTGGTGCTGTAGCTGTCCTGGGCATCCCTTCCTGCACCGACACTTTGATGGGAGACTGGACTCCTATGGGAAAATCCTCCCACGCTAGCATAGCTTTTCTCACCATTTGCTTCACTCTTGCCAGCAGCAAGTCTGCGACTCCTGCCCCTAGCAAAGGGATTTTCTGTCGAGAAGTCTAGACTGCGTCGAGTGGTCACAGGCCACACTGAAATATTCCTATTCAACCAAAGGGACAAAACTAGGAAATTGCTAGACTGCATCTTACTTGGTGCAAAGAAACTTTTCAGTAATCCTTGGTAGTTTCTACAAGTTCTCCCTTTTCAATACTAACTGCATTTTCTTACTTCACTAAGATTATTGACTTACTGTATATATCTCAAAGTAGCAACTGTGAAACAAATTTTATTTTGAATGTAATCCATTTGGATCATAAAGTTTAATGTTTATTTTTAACAGCTTTACTTATACTAACATCTATAACTATATAGTTATTTCATTTTAAGTAACTTATTTATTATTAATATAAAGAGAACAGATTTTATACAGTTCATAGATTACAAGGACTAAGAACTACTGGATGTATTTTTTAAAAGATTTATTTATTTTATTTGAAAGAGAAAGAAGGAGAGGCAGACAGAGAGAGAGATCTTCCATCTGCTGGTTCATTCCCCAGGTGGTCACAATAGCCAGAGCTGGGCCAATCTGAAGCCAGGAGCTAGGAGCTTCTTCCGGGTCTCACACGCTGGTACAGGGGCCCAAGGACTTGGGCCATCTTCCTCTGCTTTCCCATGTCATAGCAGAGAGCTGGATTGGAAGTGGAGCAGCCAGGACTCAAACTGGTGCCCATATGGGATGCCGACACTGCAGGTGGTGGCTTTACCCCCTACGCCACAGTGCCGGCCCCTACTGGATGTATTAAGCTGTACTTATTATAAAGAGAAGTCTTCTGTCTTCTGTTCTGACTCTCCAAATGAACAATATCCAGAAAAATAAAAAATGGATAATGGAGCTCATTGGGACAATCATTGCAACCACAGAGTGTCCAATACTTTAAATATCTTTACATACTGTCCAAATATACTTAGCTCGCTGCTAAGTCTCTTCCATGGTTGAATATATATATATATATATATATATGTAAAGATATATAAAGTATATAAAGATTTCTTATCAAAGATAATGCAAAATTCATGAAACTTAAATGGGCTTAGCTGAGGTTGTCCTTGTGCCACTTTGAATGTCCAAGGACAGCTCAGTGATTCCCTTAGCTGAGCAGAAACCACTCTTTCCCCAGCCGTTTACTCCACGATCCAGACCTGGTTCACAGGAAGCCTTACTAGCACTGTGGGAGAGCCTCCAGCACCCAAGCCCTTTACATCTAAGGCAGTGTAGGGATTGGCAAAATCATGACACATTTCACAATTTTAATGCATCTTTCTGTTTATTTGGTTAACTAAGCAATATGCTCTGTCAAAGAACTTATTCCAAGTCAAAGCAGAAAAGGCCTTAATGTGGACTACAAGAAAAACACCACGCAGATAAAAAAATTGCCAAAAGAAACAAAATTATCCCTGCCCCCATCCTCTTTTCGATTTTGTGGACTCAAGTGGGTTGTTGGTTTGCAGTTACCTTAGCACACAGAATCACAGCCCTACATGGCTGATCTGGACACAGCAGTTCCTTCTAGAGCGGCATCTTCCAGGAAGCCTCACGTGGCCACAGCCTGCTATACAGGGTATTTCTTATGGGTGGGGCAAAGGACAGTTTAATTAAGGTCACTTACATCTTCATCTTTTACCCGGATGGCTGATCTGCGGATTTCTGGTAGGAATCCAGTAGAGCTGTTTCAAGGTTCACAGCAACACTTAACAGCTGTAAGCTCATATCCAGAAGCTGTGATCCTCATGAAATCCACAACGAGGGCAGCAAGCCCGAGACAGTCAACCAAGGCTCAGTGTTTCCTGCTGCCCACAGGCGTGGCAGTGGACTGCAGCGATGCAAACTGCGTCTCGCTGTGTGTTTCTGGCGGTCCCGTGTTGTTTTCCTTGTTGCATAAACCCGGCGCCAGGTGGCCTATGCACACTGCTAGTCTTCTCTGGTTCTGGAGTTTCTGCAACAATTACTGAAGCAGGAGGTGCTGGAGTTGTTTTATTCCAGGGACCTGAAGATTTTTTCTAGATCACTGCCACCATCTCCATCTTCTTCCCAGTTTTTATCTGGGTCTTCTCTCTTTTCTCTATCGTCTTCTACCTTTTCACTTATTTGCATTGCCTGAACTCTGAAGCCACTGATCCATCTATTTTTGCTCCATTTATTTCCACTCATCTTCACCCTTCCCCACGGCCTTGGTGGTGGCCTCCTGAACCCATGGTCCCCTTCCTACTCTGCTGCCCACAGGGTACGTGGCTCTGCTGTTCCCACCTCAGCCCCTGCCATGCTGGGCAGCTTTGTTCCTGCTTCTTGTCCCTGTTGGCGAAGACGTTGTCCAGCTCACTGCTAAGTCTCTTCCATGGCCATGGCTGTTAGGCCTGGATTGCAAGTATTTTTGATGCATGTTATTGACTGTCTTTCAGAAAGATTGTACTCATTTACACTACTGTCAGCCAGGCTTGAGGGTTCTTGTTCCCCACACTCTCAACCTTACTGTATAGTTACTACAAACAAGCAAGCAATCTTCCTTACTAATTTGATAAGCAATGAACAAAAACCCATTTTTGGTTGCGTTTCCTTGAAGACTAGTGAAGATGGCAAAGTTTATCAGCCATCCGTCTGGCTTCTTTTGTGAATTTACTGTTCACAGGCTGTCATTTTTCTGACCTGGATACACATTGCCCAGTTGCATGCCAAGGGCTGGTTAGTTTATGCTCTTTTTTGGAGTTGTTTCTTCCCCCTTGCTCATTTAAAGAAATTTCTTTTCTTTTCTTTCTGTCTTTTTTTTTTATACCCAGATATTCATTTGTATTTGAAAGTGGAGGGAAAAGAGCTGAATATGTTGGAGGGGAGGATATACATGGATTTTAGGCTCTAAAAGATATATAAATTGGAAGAATATTGAGCCTCCAAGGTGGAATGAAATAGGGGATGGGGTATTAGATTCTTTTTGGTTTCAGGAAACATTATACAACAACTATCCCCAGGTCATTACTAAACTCTAAGAACATAATCCTTTCATTATGATTTTCTTTGAGAAAACACAAATAACTGAGATTGTTTTTGTTTCTGATCAGTGTCTCCAAGGCAAGAGAGAATGACAGAAAAATAATGAACCAACAAAGTAAATTGTTCATGAGATTATTTAATTATCAGTTTTAATTCAATGCCATCAGCAAACTATATAGGTAAATGCTTAGTAGACTGGATTATTGGCTACAAGAATTTCTTACGGAACCAAGCATACTTTTTTTTTTTTTTTGACAGGCAGAGTTAGACAGTGAGAGAGAGAAAGAGAGAGAGAGAGAGAGAGAAAGGTCTTCCTTTTCCATTGGTTCACCCCCAAATGGCCACTACAGCTGGCGCACTGCACCAATCCAAAGCCAGGAGCCAGGTGCTTCCTCCTGGTCTCCCATGCAGGTGCAGGGCCCAAGTACCTGGGCCATCCTCCACTGCCTTCCCGGGCCACAGCAGAGAGTTGGACTGGGAGAGGAGCAACCTGGACAGAATTCAGAGCCCCTACTGGGACTAGAACCCGGGGTGCCGGCACCGCAGGCGGAGAATTAGCCAAGTGAGCCATGGCACCGGCCCAAGCATACTTTATATCTTCTTTCTCTCATATAATTATTCTGATTGCTTATTTGAACCAGAGGCTATGAAAAGGTTTTATAAGGAGTAGGGTTTATTGGAATCTGTTGAATGCATAAATGAACAAATGAATCCAAAGAACAGATTCAGCAGGATTTGGATATGAGCAAAGAATCATGCATTTAATCTGGTACTAGAAATTATAATTATTTCTAGGTTATGGTGATATCTGAACTTATTTTGAGGGCTAACATTTTAGGATGAACTAGAAATCCCTCTAGAAAATGTCATAAAGCAGAATAATCTGTGTCTATACATTAATATTGATGACTAGAAGATCATATTGCTCATAACCTCCTACTGCTGCATTTTAAAAAGCCAAGAGAAAAGATGAAGAAATTGTAACATGCTAAAGATGTGGAAGGGTTTTTTTTTCTGTTTTTAGTGCCAGGTAAATTGAGATAAATTGTTCATGAGTATGTCCATTTTGGCACACAATAGTAGCACCATATGGTGGGATTTTTACCAACTGTATCTTTTTGGTCAGACAATTCTTCGATGGTGGTTTGCCCTGCTGAATACATTATTATTTCTTGGGAAAGAAATGTAAAGGATTTGAAATCTGCCTCTGAGAGTTTATCTGCGTTGGAATCTCTGCGTGAGTATTGAGGGTGATCAGGAAGGAAGAAATCTGGGGCATGCAAAGACGTATGAAGTCCCTTGTAACTTCTCCGGTGATGAAGATTACCATTCATCGCGTTTTGCTGGTCACTCCCTATGTGGTACTGGTTCCTCTCTCTGAGGGCGACCCTGCTTATCTTCTGAGGCCCACGGAGCTGATGTCTGATCCTCATCAGGCAGAAATTCCCTGGTGAGCTGTTGTGATGCTTGACTGTGGTTGAAAAAGGCAGGACAGTCTGAGTTCTTATTGGTGAGAAATGCCCTCGGCTGTATCTTCTGGAGCTCTTGGTCCAACGTGTGGGCTGTCTTATCTTGGTTTTGAAGCTCCTCTTGGGTAATGTGTGTTTGCTCCAGTAACTTCTCTTGCACATACTGGTACAGTGGACTGGAACGAACTGTGGCTGTCTCCCTGGAAGAAGGCTTTTGGGCTGTCCGCATCCTCTGTTCAAGGCCTGGCCGTGGGACTGCAGAGGCATAGTCTTTCTTAGTTGGATTTTGTTGGTCATCATGTCCTCCTGCCAGCTGATGGGGATGTCCATCCTCCTCCTCCAATATTGCAGGTTCCTCTGTTTCAAAACGTGTCTTGGGGGAGGCTGAGTTGTGCTCATCCAGGCGTTTTAACAGAGCCTCTTGGGTCTCTGATGCACCCTCTTCCTCTTCTCTGGTTCTTGGGCCCTGGATCTTTAGTTGTCTTCTACCATCTGCCTTCTCAGGGAGCTGCATTAAGGAACACTGGTCACTGAAGTCTGCAGCCAGGGCTGCTGAGATGTCTGTCCTCAGAGACTTTGTGTTTTCACCCCTGTCTGTGGACTCTTGTGTCTCTGAGTGTCCATCAGGCTGCACAGCTGCACCTGGACCTTTGAGCCCCGAGCCTTGACTTCTGCATTCTCTGGCAGCCGGTTCCTGGCCCTCGGCAAGCTGTACACCTTCTCCTTCTGCTGACAGCACCGCCACCTCCTGGGCTCTGTTTCTCTCACCTGGGGCTTCCTGCTTCTGAGTGTCTGGGTTATCATTGTGACTTCCTTTCTCAGGCTCTCTGTGTGGGTCTTCCTGACCCTGGGGCTCCCCTGGCACAGGCAGCCCACCTGTCTCGGAGCTCTGGTCACCTTCCTCTGGAGCCAGGCCGTGGGGAGTTCCAGAAGTCCCCTCTTCATCCTGTGTAACCTGTGACTCAGGCTCCTCGTCCCCACAGCCATCGTCTGCGGCGGCTGGGTTGTCACAGGTCTCAACGACTCCACCGTTTTCTGCTCCAGGCTGGTGCTCAGGTGGCACAGACTCTTCTGTTCTTTCTCTTGCTCTGGGGGTCCCTTTAGCTGCAGGGCCATTTTTGCTATTCACAGATTCTTCCTCTGGGCTTTCCTCAGGGTATTTTCCCTCAATTTCAGGGCTATTCTGATTTCTGTCTTCTGAGATCAGATCTTGTGACTCGGAGCCTTTCTCAGCATCTTTTTCGTTTGTTGATCCCTGTAGTTTCTGATCCTTTTCATCTTGTGTTCGGGCTTCCAGGGCTGGCGGCTGAGTTTTTCTCTGCTGTTCTTTCTGCCTTGCTGATCCATGGGGCTGAAGACTTCCTCCCTCCTTCCTTTCAGCTCTAATGCCCAGTGTTTCTGAAACGCCGTGGACTGGAAGTTTCTGTGTTTCATGCTCCCTTTCGTGTGCTGGTGGTTTTTGGGCCTCAGACGCTTCACCATAACCATCAAGTGCATCAGAGCTCCTGGTGCCGGATGGTGTCCCGGCAGCAGCCTTGCTGGGTTGTTCCATCTCAGACGTTCTGCTCCCGTCCTCTGGGTCAGCTGACTTCTGTGTCAGAGAGGGTTTCCTGGCAGAGGTGCGTTCTGGCAGGTCAGCCCGCTCTGCACGGGGTTCAACTCCTTGCAGGGGCGGGCCTTGTGATTTCGAGTGTTTCTTAGTACCCTTTTTTGCAGCAACTTCCTGGTTTTCAGATGGTCTCTGTGTTGTTTCTTGTTGTTGTTTCAAGTTCCGTTCCTCTTCTCCCTGCTGGTCTCTTGTCTTGGTGCCCCTTTGCTCCCTGGCTGGTTTATCTCCTTCCCTGGGGATCTCCCTAGTCTGTGCCTCCCTCTTTGTAGGACTGCTAGTCTCTTCTGATCCTGATAATGACTCACTTGTTTTAAGTTGGGCTCCATTATCCTCTGTTGCTAGCACCTTTGGAGCTGCTTCCTGATTTTGTTCATCTGCTTCTAGCTGTTGGATTTTCACGTCATTCTGCTCAGAAGTTTCTCCTGGCAGGTTGTGAGTCTTGCTGCCTCCCTGTGGGTCCCCTCTATGGCGTCCAACTACCCTACTTTCTTCAGTGCTGAGCTCAGCTGATGATGTCACAACCTTGTCTTGAGTTGGCAGAGTTCCCCCTGTCTGCTGACCATTTCTGGTAGTCACCTGAAGATCCACATTGTGTGGGTTAAGCACCTGTCTTGGTTCTGAATTCAGTAATGATTGCATGTCAAAATAACAGAGGTTCAGCAAGTTGAATATCACCAGAACAAATTCATCAAAACTAATGGTGTCGGCACTGTCAATACCCAGAAGATTCAAATTTCTCTGCACAGCATGAATGACATGTGGCTGCATAAAAACACAGAGAGAAATCAGCCAATCAGGTGTCCCGACTGTCTGTGTCTCCCATGAATCCTCCCTTTTTTTTGACCCTCATTCCTCAGGAGCTAGTAACATTTCCCCAAACAGAAGTGCTCTTTGGCTCTGGATGCCGCTTCTCATCAGAGAGCTATGACTTAAAGGAGCCCTTAGAGCACTTGTGATTGCATCAGATGCCTAATAGCTCCTCTCAGGAGTTGCTTTGCTGAAGGTCTAGTTCCATTGAGGAAAACCTCATTTCCTCTGCAAGATTCATTAAGCAATGCACAAAACAGGAATCTGAGGCTGCCAATGCTGTCCAGAAGTCAGAGAATGAATGGTGGTCAAGTATCAAATGGACAGGGTTCACTTGTACCCATCTTGCTTGGGTGATAGGGAAAGAGCAGATGAGGAAGAATTTCTACAGCTCAGTGAGCACCTCACCTGGATAGAGTCCGCAAGCTCGCCCTGGAGCAGCTGCTCCAGCTCTCTGTGGGTCAGCGTAGCCTTGTCCTCTCTGGCGTACTTGTGGAACGTCTCCATTACACAGAGGACACCTCTCAGGAGCCGAGGCATCTTTGCAAGCTCAGAGAGACTGTGTGAGGAAGAACAAACATTGCTCATTTCCTAGGATGGGTCCCTCAGGAAGGGGAGAGCAAGATGGTCCTTCTGTCTGTATCCTAAAACTTTGTATCTGAACTCCAGGGGTGGTTTGATTCTGCAGCAGGCATCGTGGTAGGTATTAGAAGAGGCACTTCTCCTCCTGCTCTGAGGTAAACACTCACATTTGTGTGTTCAGAGAAAGTGTACTGCAAAAAGGAGGGTGAGAAAGAACGTGAGTGTAAGTAGTGAAAGGTACAAATGAAGCGAACAGAGTGGGACCCGTCCTGGCAGTCTCATCGGAGATGGTCCACTGGCCTTCCTCGCGCTGGGGCTCTGTCCCACCTTCTCTGCTTAGGAAACTCTAATTTTCAAGGTTAGTAAAGTTTCTAGACAAAAGAGAAGGAACACCATGAAAATCAGCTCCTATGTTTGTAGGGAGAAGAATCTTTTAACCAAGAAGACAGGGTTCCATGTGAACTCATTGGTAAGATCAAGTCTCCACCCCTCAATCATTACCCATCATTTAAATAACTCTCCATTTTCACTTTAATACAGATATGAGTTCTTTGTCTTGTTAAGCAGTGTTCATGTCTGTATCATCCAAACAGTTTAGTAGTTTTCTAAAAAAGAAAACGACCAAAGAAGTTCCATAAGCAAGGAAAAGAATTTGTGTGGCTTGAGCTCCCAGTCTACCTTTACGAACAGGGGCTGGCCTTGAGCCCGTTTCCTCTGAAATCCTCACACAAGCTTGTGCAGAAGCAAAGCAGCAGCCGGGAATAAGTACGCCCAAGCAGATGATCAGTGAGACTTACCTGGTTCACGGGTGAGAGCGAGTGCGACGTGGGTAGCGGGCTGTGTGCCGACGGTGTGTGCTGGGACCTTTTATTGAGGTCCTAATTGCACACTTAAGAAGGAGACACCCTCCGGCTCTGATGACCTGACTCCTCACCACCAAACCCAGCCTCCACTCCTTCTTGGCTGTTGGCACGTCTTCTTTTTACTTTCCTCTTCAGGCAGCTTCAGTGAAATCTTGGCTGTAGACTTATCCAAAGGAAGGGAAGGGGGGATCCTGTTCTGTTCACTGACCTTTGCAGGTTTTAGGTCTGAGGATTCATCAGAGTGGTGTTGCCTTTTCTTTCCTTTTAACCTAAGGACACAATGACATTGCTGTTTGTCAAATCATAGGGCAGGCAGAGATCTCAGAAGTCATCTATTCCTATTGCTGCCCACAGGATGGCCTGTATTTGACCCTACCTTGAAACATGGGTAAGAATCATGTGTTCAAAAATAAAAGCCCCATTTAGTCATGTGATACAGTGGGGCTGCTAGGTGACTCAAGGATTTCAATGCTCTGCTCTCCTTGCCCAGAGGCAGTGTTATAGGGAAAAAAAATCTCTTGCTGGCCGTGCAGGACCTTGCTTACCTAAGATGTGCTATTTTTTAAAATGTAATTGATATCTGCTTTTAAAAACCATTTTCGTAATCCAAGGACCTTAGAAATGGGTGCCTATATTACTGTGTTCTCTCTGTAAAGGAGAAAGGGGGGGTATGGAAGCTGTAAGGAAGGAAGTGAGTCTGAGATGATGAACTGGAAAAGTGTTTTTATTACATCTTAGGTCTGGGTCTCTCTTAGTAGAGAGTATATAATTAAAAATTTTAAAAAATTATGTGATAGGCACAGTTAGGGAGAGCGGAGAGAGAGAGAGAGAGAGAGAGAGAGAGAGAGAGAAAGATCTTCCATCTGCTGGTTCACTCCCCAAATGGCTGCAGTGATTAGGGCTGGGTCAGACTGAAGCCAGGAACCAGGATCTTCTTGTGGGTCTCCTGCGTGGGTGTAGGGGCCCAACCACTTTTGTCATCTGCTGCTTTCCAGGTGCATTAGCAGGGATCTGGATTGGAAATGGAGTGTCTGGGACTCGAACCAGAGCGCCATAAAGGATGCTGGTGTTGCAGTCAGCAGCTTTACCCACTATACCACAATGCTGGTACCAGGAGAATATGTAATTTTTAAAAAAGATCTATTTATTTGAAAGGCAGAGTTACAGGGAGAGAGGGAGAGACAGACAATCTTCCATCTGCTGGCTCACTCCCCAAATGGTTGTTGAACTGGTACCATATGAGATGCTGGCATTGCAGGCAGATACTTGACCTGCTGTGCCATAGTGCTGTCCACAAGAATATATAATTAACAGGAATATTAGATTAAGTTGTTTTTCTTATATATTTAAAAAGAGAATTTTTTTGTTCCTTTGTTAAAGAATATTGTTTTGTTTATTTGAAAGGCAGAATGATAGAGGGAAAGACAGAAAAAGAAAGAGGGAGAGAGAAAGAGAGAGAGAGAGAGAGAAAGAGAGTCTTTCATCCACTGGTTAATTCCTCCAAACTGCCACAGTGGCCTGGGGCTGGCCAGGTCAAATCCAGGAGCCTGTAATTCCAACCAGGTCTCCCACAGGGATGGCAGTGGCCCAAGTACTCGGGTCATCTTACACTGCTTCCCCAGGCTCGTTAACAGAGAACTGGATAGGAAATAACTTGAATTGATGCTCATATGGGATGCTGGTGTCCCAGACAGTGACTTAACCAGCTGTGCCACAATGCCAGCCCCTAGAGAGTACTTTAAAACATCCTTGCCTCCTTTTCAAGGGATATAAGATACATGAAAACAAGAGTAAGAGACAAACACCAAGATAATGAAGGGGTGGAGATGGAGATAATTATATGAGAAAATTGAGGCTAAGGAAAGCATTGATTTTTTTAATGGGACGCAGGCATTTTTTAATAGATTTATTTATTTACTTGAGAGGCAGAGTTACAGACAGAGAGAGGGAGAGATGGAAAGAGAGGTCTTCCATCCGCTGGTTCACTCCCCAAATGGATACAATGGTAGGAGCTGGGCTGATTTAAAGCCAGGAGCCAGGAGCTTCTTCTGTATCTTCCGCACTGGTGCAGGGACCCAAGCACTTGGGCCATCTTCCACTGCTTTCCTAGACCATTAGTAGAGAGCTGGATTGGAAGTGGAGCAGCCTGGATGCCAATAGGTGCCCAGATGGGATGCCAGTGCCTCAGGCAGATGCTTAACCTACTACAGCACAGCACCAGCCTTGAAAGCATTGATATTGAGCAAAAAACCTTGTTCTGAGTTTCCTGATAATCACGGCAAGTATAAAGGAACTGTGTTTTGAGGAGGGTGGAGTCCACATTGATGTTCCAGAGATGAGGAATGTCTGACCCATGGGTTGTACAAGGCCTGTGAAATCTTTTGGTCTGACTTTGCCAAGACAATTGCAGGCAGGACTAGAAATTCAATAAATCTATAACAAGCTAGTTTTTAAATTTACAATATTGTATGACCCATGAATTATGGTATAAGTATCCATAAGCCCTTGAGAAAAAATTTTCCCATCCCTGGCTTATTCCTATAATTTCTCAACATCATCCTAAAAATGACAAGATGATACTGAGAACTATGGCACATGAAAGTTATCTGAATTCTTATTAGTTAACATCTCCTGAGTGTTAACTATGTCTCAAACACTGTACCAGGCCCTGAGTGTTTCAAGTTGTGTAAGTTATGTCTCCCTGTCCTGGAGCTCATGGGCCAGTCTCATGAGAAGTGGCTGAAGTAAACTGGGTATGTGCAAAGCTGGACTGGAAAGAGAGACTTAGGAGAGACATAATAACTGTCTTCCAATATTTTCATGGGCGTGGAAGAGAAAGCAACCAATGTTTATTGAACACTCATGACATGTCAGCAGCCTTTCACAGGTTGTCTTAATTCTCACAGCCCCTTTAGGTAGCTATTATCATCTTTTAACAGATAAGGAAGTTAGGGCTCTTAGCTGTTAAGCAAATTGCCCACAGATGTGTACCTACTAAGTGGCAGAGACAGGATACAGAAGTGAAATGCTCAAAGAATATATGTCTCTGAGTCCATAGTCCTCATTGAATTTCTTTTTCAATAAATGCCTGAAAAATACAGCTAGAATCAGTGATTGAAACTTTCTGAAAAGAAAACTCTAGTCCTTATTAACAACCTTTTAAGAAGTGCAGCTGTTTGACAATAACATGGGCTATTCCGAAAGCAATGTGATCCTTTTCTCTAGACCTGTTCTAACAGAGGCCGAGTCATTGTTCCTTGGCTAGATTATAGAAAGAATTCTGCCATGGGAAGAGATAAGCCAGGAATGGTTTAGAGTGGAGAGAACAAAACTCTTTCAAATGTTTATGATTTGGGGCTGGCACTGTGGCAAGTAAAGCCACAGTCTGCAATACCAGCATCCCATATGGTCACCAGTTCGAGTGCCGGCTGCTCCACTTCTGATCCAGCTCTCTGCTATGGCCTGGGAAAGCAGGAGAAGATGGCCCAAGTCCTTGGGCCCCTGCACCCACATGGGAGACCTGGAAGAAGCTCCTGGCTTCCGAGGGGCACAACTCTGGCCATTGTGGCCATCTAGGGAGTGAATCAGCTGATGGAAGACTTCTCTCTCTCTCTGCTTCTGCCTCTCTGCCTTACAAATAAATAAATAAATAAATTTTTAAAAGTCCATGATTTTACATTATAGTTTTATTTAGAAAGTCAAAGTTGGTTCTTATCTTATCTCTAAACTATGTAGGCGATGGTTCTCTAGCCCTTTAGCAGGCACTCCTACTTTTTCAGTGCTTACTCAAGACTATTTAATTAATGCCCACACTCTGGATGAGTAGTGACTCAGAGGCATGGCAAGGGGGAATGAGATTGCTCTCCAGCTACTTCTTAAAAAAGTATCTAGTCTGCTGTACAATAAGCCACAAACAAGTTTACCATTACCAGAAAGAAGACTCCAATTGCCTTTTTTTCTTCCAAAGAGGCCCCTCTAGTGGTCCCTCTGTGATGTTCTGTTCTCTCTAATTCTATGTGGAGATGATACAGAATGGAGGAAAGAGTGACAGCAAGAGCAAGAGTATGGACAAGGTGGGGGGCAGAGAGAAGTAGAAAAGAGAATATAAATTATCTTTAAAAGCCTATTGTTTTTCAAAAGTCACAACTGAAATATTAAACAAAAGCCTTTTTTTAAAGATTTATTTATTTTGAAAGGCAGAGTTACAGAGAGGCAGAGGCAGAGGGAGAAAGAGAGAGGTCTTCCATCTGCTGGCTCACTTGTTTCAGGTCTCCCACATGAGTGCAGGAACCTAAGGATCTGGGCCATCTTCTACTGCTTTCTCAGGCCATAGCAGAGAGCTGGATTGGAAGTGGAGCAGCTGGGTCTCAAACCAGCATCCATATGGGATGCCAGCACTGCAGGCAGTGGCTTTACCTGCTACATCACAGCACCGGTCCCTAAACAAAAACTTTAAAAACCTCACACAATGGCTACTTTGGAAAAGAATGATTAATAAAACAAATTTTTAATGATTATAATACTGGCAAATTTGGCAAGTGAAAAAATAAGACTTCTGCTTATATTTACATTTTTATTATCTTTTTGACATAGAATAATAGAGTTTGTTCAAGATGATGGTGGTCTGAGCAAATACATTTTAAATGTCCTTCCTAAAATAAAAGTATCAATATATAAAAATAAACTAGAACTATGAGCAGAACTAGAGGAAACTTATAAGGGCATGAGGGGTTTCAATAAATCTGTGGAAGATGGCAAGTTGATGGTAGAATGTTCATGACTGAAACGGATGGAGAAAGGCACAGCCTAGAATGCGTCACGAGGTGTGGCAGAAGCGAAGGTGGATCTGAACCTGGAGAAGTGCTAGACTCAGAATCAGCAGGGTTGACGCAGGTGTGAATGGGCAATGGTGTTGTAAACAGGAACAGTCATTGAAGACCGTCCCAGGGGTCATTCCTGCCTCCCACCTCCCCTAAGGCAGAGAGCTTAGACATCTGAACCTTTATTACCCCATTTCCCTAGCGAAATCCCAAATGGCTCTTTCCTAAAGAAACTGAACAAACTTCCTAGAAATGATAAATGTAGGCTCCTTAAGGGCAGGACTGGGAGCACCTTATCTTCTATAGTAGGTTCCCTGTCTATATTTGTTGACTAACAGATTAACTGAAAGCTAAGAGTCCTGGTATAGGCACTGATACTCTAGGAAAATCTGCTTCATTATGACGTTTAGGGCTGTGGCTGGTGTCTGCAG